GTGGAGGCAAAAGCGGCGTGACCTGTCCAAGTTGCTGGTGCGGCTGTGCCGGCACCACGTTCACCCAGTGGGCCGTAAATGACATGTACTGTCCCTGACCGTAGTTACAGCTCCACACGTTGGCGCTGCCGTGCACTTTGGCAGAGACCGACATGCTGCTCAAAGACTGGCCCACCATCTCTTCTACATGTGAATGCAGGGCTGGCACTGCCTTTTTGGCGAAGAAATGCCGGCTTGGCACTCTCCACCGCGGCTCGGCACAAGCCATCATTTCTCGGAAAGGTGCTGAGTCCACCACTTGGAAAGGGAGGGACTGCAGCACCAGCAACTTGGACAGGAGGACGTTCAGCTTCTGCACCGTCGGGTGCGTGCTCGCAAACTGTTGTCTCTTGGAAACGGATTCCAAGAAAGACTGCTGACGGAATCCGTGAAGAGGAGTAGCAGGAGAAGGAGCATCTGAACGAGCGGAAGATGCCAACGAGCGACAACTCCCCTCAGCAGAGGTGTTGGAGCCTTGACTGGCTGATAGAGGGCGATTGACGTCGGGTGACGGAGCAAGTAACGGAGCGGGTGATGGAGCGGGGGCTGGGGCAGGCAGAACCGCCGTATCTTTATCACGGTTTTCCCAGGCCACCGAATGGCGACGCTGCATATGCTGACGCAACGCTGTAGTCCCAACATGGGCCCCCTGGCCACGCTTGACTTTCTGGCCACATAGTCGACATACGGCTACGTTTACTTCCTCGGGCGGCTTGACGAAAAATTGCCACACCGCCGAGTAGGAAACTTTGCCCCCGCTACTCCTCACTGGCTGACTGCTACTTCCTCCGTGCACACCGGCACCACTACTGGCCGTGGTGGTAGGCTGCAGTGGAGCTGGTGCTCTACTCCGTGGCCGTTTGGCTCCACTGACACTGCTGCGACCCTGCTGCCTCCTGGGCAACCCACCGACTGTTTTGCTCGCTGGCAAGCTGGCACCCTCTTCTCCTGATGATGCGGAAGCAATAGCCTGATGACGACGAGGCTGCCAAGTGCGATCAGCCTCATCATCATCAATTAGGGTCTCCGCGTCACTACTAGCCCCCTCGGCTGCGTGTGGGTCAGGAGACAGACCTGTCTCTAAACCGGCTACCGAGCCACTCTCCTCGCCAGTACTTCTTCGCCTGGCTGCTGAAGAGGCGGATGTCTCCCCCCGTTCCTGACCGCCCTCTGTTAGCTCTTCCTCACTGTACAGTGGGGCTGAGCCCACAGCATGCGATACTTTCGCTTGGTGAGGGAACACCAAAGGACAGGGGCAGGTCGAGGACACGTGATTTCAGTGGGCTTGCTCCCGGGCCATGCCAACTAACGGTTGTGTCTGACGTACCCACCGACCGTTGGCTGTAGGTGTCAGAGGTGACCTGGGAAGAGGAAGACGACCGAGTCAACCAATCGATGACGGCAGGGTTGTCGGTGGAGACACGACCGCTGGATGACACCGGGAGCACTGGCCTCTGGCTGCGACTAGTGCTGCCTCGACCCCTTCCTCTGCTGCCACGTCTGCTCGCTCCTGAAACATTGCCTCCTCTGCCACTCCTCTGCGTGTTGTCTGACATACTCTTTAATTCAATAAGCACCCCAAAAATAAAACCGGATTTAACTCTTTGAACGTACAATAGTGGTTGTGAAGCAGAAAGTCAGTTTATTTAGCACAATCGGTCAATTGCAGCTTGCCGTTGGCTGGAAACTGTACGTTTATGTCACTGGAATGCACTAATCACCCAAAAAATATTACCGCCACCCGGCGTGTATATGGATTTAACTCTTTGAACGTACAATAGTGGTTGTGAAGCAGAAAGTCAGTTTATTTAGCACAATCGGTCAATTGCAGCTTGCCGTTGGCTGGAAACTGTACGTTTATGTCACTGGAATGCACTAATCACCCAAAAAATATTACCGCCAGCCGGCGTGTAAATGGATTTAACTCTTTGAACGTACAATAGTGGTTGTGAAGCAGAAAGTCAGTTTATTTAGCACAATCGGTCAATTGCAGCTTGCCGTTGGCTGGAAACTGTACGTTTATGTCACTGGAATGCACTAATCACCCAAAGAATATTACCGCCAGCCGGCGTGTAAATGGATCTAACTCTTTGAACGTACAATAGTGGTTGTGAAGCAGAAAGTCAGTTTATTTAGCACAATCGGTCAATTGCAGCTTGCCGTTGGCTGGAAACTGTACGTTTTATGTCACTGGAATGCACTAATCACCCAAAAAATATTACCGCCAGCCGGCGTGTAAATGGATCTAACTCTTTGAACGTACAATAGTGGTTGTGAAGCAGAAAGTCAGTTTATTTAGCACAATCGGCAAACTGCAGCACCAACTGTGCACGACAGCCACCAAAAAAAAAAAGGGTGTATGTCACTTTAAATTTTCGATTCTTTGATAGCTGTGGCCTGAGTAACAATTCTGTGTCCCTGAGTAACGATTGTGTGTCCCTGAGTAATGATTCTGTGTCCCTGAGTAACGATTCTGTGTCCTGAGTAACGATTGTTTGTCCCTGAGTAACGATTCTGTGTCCCTGAGTAACGATTGTGTGTCCCTGAGTAACGATTCTGTGGCCCTGAGTAACGATTGTGTGTCCCTGATAATGATTGTGTGTCCCTGGAGTAACGATTGTGTGTCCCTGAGTAACGATTGTTTGTCCCTGAGTAACAATTCTGTGTCCCTGAGTAACGATTGTGTGTCCCTGAGTAACGATTCTGTGTCCCTGAGTAACGATTGTGTGTCCCTGAGTAACGATTGTTTGTAACATTGTGTGTCCCTGAGTAACGATTCTGTGTCCCTGAGTAACGATTCTGTGTCCTGAGTAAAACGATTCTGTGGCCCTAAAGTCTCTGTGGCCCTAACTCTGTCCCTTAATACACACAGGTCTGTCTCTCTTGAATGACTGGAGGCTAATGGAGAATTCTAAGATGGCCGCAATTTATAGCTCCACCATTACACAGTGCTGGCTGGCTGCTGATTGGCTAATGCGATCACATGTCATGAATGCATTATGGGTCAGCGCGCCTTGTCTGCGCGCCTTCCCAGAGATCCCCGCCCCATCTTCTCTGTCCATTTTCTCCGTCTCCACACATGTCGCCGCCATTTTTGGGGAAAATTCGATTCGTGCATCCGAAGTTTGCTAATCTTCGGATTCGTCGCGAATAGAATTTTTCCAAATCTTCGGAACGAATTCCACTTCGTCATGTTCGATTCGCTCATCTCTACAAATAATGACAACAAACCAAGCATACACATATAACAATGCACTAACCAAGGTTGTACGAACATGCTAATAAGTTTGCCAGTGATCACCTATGATTAATCTCTAGTGATTGCTACACATATTGTTGCAGAAAATGTCATTGAACAAAAATTTGGAGAACTGCATAATCATTAGTGATTATTCGCACCTATAGTCATGGCCAAAAATATTGGCACCCCTGCATTTCATTGTCAGATAATGCACCACTTCACCCAGAAAATTGTTGCAATTACAAATGTTTAGGAATTCTTAAGTTTATTTCTTTTGTTTGTATTGGTATGACACAAAAAGTGGAGAAAAAAAAAGCCAAACCTGACACATTCCATGCAAAACCCCAAAAATGGACTGGACAAAATTATTGGCACCTTCTCAAAATTGTAAGAAATAATTGCATTCCAAGTTTGTGATGCTCCTGTAATTTGTAATTAAACTCACCAGTATCATTTAACAGGTGCTGACAATATAGAAATCACACCGGCAACCAGTTAAAATGGCAAAAAAACTGGCTCAGCCTTTCTGTTGTGTGTCTCTGTGTGTCACATGGAGCATGGAGAAGAGAAAGATCAGCAAAGAATTGTCTGAGGATTTTAGAGCAAAAATTGTGAAAAAGCATGGACAATCTCAAGGATACAAGTCCATCTCCAGAGATCTTAATGTTCCTGTGTCAAAGATTGCAATGAAGGATTGTTCAAATGGTAGCAAAGAGCCTCGATCAACTTCCAGACAAATTCAAGCTGACCTTCGGGCACAGAGTACAACTGTGTCACCTCGCACTATATGTCACTATCTGAATGAAAATGGATGACCCAGGAGGACCCCACTGCTGACACAGAAACATAAAAAATCCAGATTAAAGTTTTTGCAAAACTTACCTGAGGAAGCCAAAATCCTTTTGGGAGAATGTGCTGCCTAAAAGCAAAATGCTATGTGTGGCAGAAAACTAACACTGCACAGCTGGACTCTGTCAGACTGCAGATTAAGTCCATATGGCAGGCTGTGCCTTCCTCCAGCAGAAAATATAGCCGCACTGGATCGCAAGCCAGCGCTAGGACTGGAATTGGAAGTGACATCGGGACGTATTGACATCAAAGCATGATGGGTACTTGTTTTGGAGCCCACAATCGCTCTTTTGTCAAACCATAGCCTGTGGTATACAATACCTTGCTAGAAGAGCTGCAGCCATTATACAAGTGGATTAACACACCCGGGTCTACCATAAAGAGTTTATGGCTTTTTGCTTGGGACTTAACCACTTGCCTACCAGGCACTTATACCCCCTTCCTTACCAGGCCAATTTTCAGCTTTCAGCGCTGCCGCACTTTGATTGACAATTGCGCGGTCATGCAACATGTACCCATATGAAATTTTGATCATTTTTTTCTCACAAATAGAGCTTTCTTTTGGTGGTATTTAATTGCCCTCCCACTGGGTGCTTTACTTTTTGCGCTATAAATAAAAAAATGCAAAAAATTTGAAGAAAAAAAAAAGTTTTCTTTGTTTCTATTATAAAATTTTTCAAACAGGTATTTTTTCTCCTTCACTGATGTGCGTTGATGAGGCGGCACTGATAGGCAGCACTAAAGGGCACTGATAGGCAGTACTAATGAGGTGGCACGGATAGGCGGCACTGATAGACAGCACTAATGAGGTGTCACAGATAGGCGGCACTAATATGCAGCACTGATAGGCGGCACTGATAGGTGACACTGATGATGGGTACTGATAGACGGCACTGACTGGCATCACTGCTGGGCACTGACTGGCGGCACTGACTGTCACAATCCCTGGGCAATGACTGGTGGCACTGACTGGCAGCACTGCTGGGCTGCACTGGTGGGTGGCACTGGTGGGCAGCACTGGTGGGTGGGCACAGGTGGGTGGGCACAGGTGGGTGGCACTGGTGGGCACAGGTGGGTGGGCACAGGTGGGTGGCACTTCTGGGCACAGGTAGGTGGCACTTCTGGGCACAGGTGTGTGACACTGCAGAGTGGCACAGGTGGGTGCACTGCTGGGCACAGGTGGGTGCACTGCTGGGCACAGGTGGGTGATCTGCTGGGCACAGGTGGGCGGAGCTAGTGGGCGCACTGCTGGGCACAGGTGGCGGAACTTGCGGGTGGCACTGCTGGACACCGATCATCAGGGCACTGATCATCAGTGTCCTGATGATCGGTGCCAGTCCCCGCTGTGACAACTGCGGTTCTCGGCAGTACTTTCCTCACGATCTGACAGCGTGAGGAAAGTGCAGCCGAGAACCGGCACTTACATTTCCCTGTGATCAGCGTGTCATTGGACACCGCTGATCACGTGGTAAAAGGCCGTTGGATCGGCCTTTTACCACATCACGTGATCAGCTGTGTCCGTAGGGACACAGCGATCACGGAGATCGCCGGGTGCGCGCCCCCTGGGGCGCGCAGGAGAGAGCGCGTTCTGGGGGGACGTCATATGACGTCCACCCAGAACTGGCCGGCCGCAGTGAAGCCGTCATTCGGCTATCTGCGGTCGGCAACTAGTTAAAGTGGTTGTAAAGACTCAGCGTTTTTACCTTCATACATTCTATGCATGAAGGTAAAAAACCTGTGTTCAGCAGTGCCCCCAATACTTATCTGAGCCTCTCAATACTTACCTGAGCCTCATCACGATCCAGCAATGTGCACGACAGCCTCGCTGTCCCTGGTCTCTTCCTCCTCATTGGCTGAGACAGAAAGCGGGAGCCATTGGCTGCCAATCACAGCCAATGAAGAGAGAGAGGGGTGGGGCCAAACCATGGCTCCATGTATGAATGGACACCACATGGAGCAGTGGGTGCCCCCATAGCAAGCTGCTTGCTATAGGTCACCTGACAGGAGGGAGGGGGCAGGAGAGCCTTCAGCACACCCTCAGAGGAAATCATAATGACAAAACATGTCAGGACGTGACCATACATAACGTCAGCATGTTCACTGAAAGTGATGTACGCTCTCCTACCCGGAAGTGGAACAGCAGGCTGCACACAGAAGCATGGTGAGATGATAGCGTTACAACCTAACCAATTTTATGGGGGACATTGGCTATGTGATGCGTTTGTACTTTTTATTTATGTACTGAATGGTGGTGTTGTGGCGAGCCTAAAAGGAGGATATTTTGATAAGCTTGGTTTCCGCCATGTTCTGGTGAGTGTTAATTTTGATGGGGTGCTAGTCACTTAAAGAACACAGTGGTGCTGGAGTGAATTTTTCAAATACAGAGACTGTCCTTACAAGAAGTATCAAGGTGGACTTGACTCTCCTTATTACACTCTGTCAAACCTAGGTGGAAGTTCTATTTCATGTATTTATTTTTTAATATATGACCATCATTATTTATGTTAATTTGTTTTTATAATATCAAGACAGCACCTTTTGGTTTGTTTGTTGTTTTGTGCTAATTCACCAATACTAAGCGCATAATTTATATGCTCTTACTAGCTTTATTCGTTTATATAGCTACAATTACAATCAATTCATGAAGGGGGGGATGGATTTAAACAATCAGATGCTGCAGCCTTATTTATCAACAAGGAAGTCCCTCTTCTAGTACACAAAAGTTGCAATATACTTTTTCCATATGGCCATTGTTAATGCATACATCACCTATCAAAGTCAATAGAAAGACCTACCACCTTCCTCAAATTTATAGAAGATATCGCCACTGCCCTAATCCATCAGGAAGGATCCCAACCACAAAGCATTCGCTCCGATTGTGTCAGCAGACTTAATGAACACCATTTCCCTGAGAACATTCCACCATCAGAAACAGGAAGAAGATGGCAAAAAAAATGTAGGGTATGCAAAAAAGGGGGAGTTAGGAAAGACACCAGTTTTCATCGTCCCAAATGTCCCTCCCAACCAGGCCTATGCATCGGAGACTGCTTTCAACTTTATCACACATTACTAAAATATTAGTTTCCCTTATTTTGTTTTCCATAATACATTTTTATTTGGTTTTACAAATATAGTTACAACAACAAAAAAACAAAAATAGGACAGTGAAAAGCTACACAATATCACAGTATAGGTGTTGCGGTAAAGTTTAACAAAGTAAAAAAGGAAATATTGAATAATTCTTAACAGTCCTACTAGTTCCACGGAATAATCACTTTAGAGTACGCAAAAAAAAAAGGTTACACATAATAACTTAGGTTACAGTTCTGAACCAGGTGATCCAGGGTTTCCAAGCTTTGTCAAATTTAGCAATTCTGTCGTTTAGGTAAGCTAAAGATTTCTCATTGATGAAGTGGGTCTAGACTAGCTCAATGACTTCATTTAGAGAAGGGGCTAAGTCTTTTTTCCAGTGTCTAGTAATGGTAAGTCTTCATGCTAGAAGAATATGTGTCACTAAAAGTCTATAATGAATTGGATATGTATCTATATTTATATTCAAAATGGTCAAGGTAGGATCTGGTTGTTTTAATATCCCAATAATTTCCGATATCATGTGGAAGACTTTATACCAATAGCTTCTAATATTTTTACATGTCCATAATATATGTAATAGAGTACCAATCTGACCACAGTTTCTACAGCATTGAGGACTATGTTGTTCTGAGAATTTGGCCATTTGATAAGGAGTTAGATACCATCTTGTGGAAATTTTGTGCGTTAGCTCACAAAGGTTAACATATTTAGTGGCTGAAAACACATTCCCAAATGCACATTTGCACAGCTCATTAGAGATTTCAGTCTTTTTCCCACTTGATTAAGGGAGTAGTCTTATTAAATTCTGATTTACATTGTAGAAAGTTATAAAATAGCGTTATACTACCTGATTTAGGAGTAGCGGAGCTATAGAACTGTAAAGATACTTTAGGTATATATATTGTTTTTACTGAATGACTGTATAGGTTGATTTTTCAGAAGGGAGGAGGTTAAATTCTTTCATAAGGAATTAAAAATTTGTAATGTTGTTTTTAAACACAAATATCTTGTATTGTGTGTATGCCATTATGTTTCCAATTTGAGATATCTATGCTAGGCATTACGACTTCTAAGGATGTTATAGGTATAGGAAGAGAACTTATTCGGAGAGTATCTATAGGCATGGAGCTTAAGAATTTCCAGGCTTCAATTGAGGCTCATATAGTTTGTGTTGTTTTACTAGTGGGAATCCTTTACCATGAGCTTGCTAGTAGTATGGCGCTTAAATCTGTAGTAGAGGCTGCAGTTTTTTCAATGTCACCCCATTTTGTATCATCTTCCACTATAAACCAATGTTTAAGTTGGTCTAATAATGATGCTTTGTGATAGTCCCTAATGTCAACAAATCCCATTCCTCCTATTTTTTTGTGTTTGATTAATATATTATGTGAGCATATTTCCCCAGACGTATCTTTTAAGCATAGATCGTAGTTTTGTTAATAATGAAGATTTAATTGGGATTGGAATTGATCTAAATAGATGTAAAATCTGTGGCAATATGAACATTTTAAATGTGGCCAGTCTGCCAGACCAGGATAGTTCATGTTTAGCCATTTGATTAAAGGGGTTTGAATTTTGGAATTAATTTAGAATAATTGAGAGTTCCTAGGTCAGAGGTTTAGTTTGTCAATAATATTTCAAGATAAGGAATTGCTTCATTTGTTTTGGAGGTGCATTTTAGAAAGTGCTCTACACCTAGATTTAGGATATTAGATTTGGATGCATTTATTTTATAATATGAAATATTACTGAATGGTATGCAAGTTTGTTGAATTGCTGCTAAAGAAGTAGAAGGATTAGTTAGCATTAAAATGATGTCATCCGCAAAGAGCGTTACTTTGTGGTGTTTTTTACCTATAAAGAAGCCATGTATATCTGGATTGTTTCTTATAGTTTCAGCAAGAGGTTCAATTGATAGGTTGAAAATTAGTGGTGACAATGGACATCCTTGTCTAGTACCATTCATAATTAAGAATGGTTTGGATAGCATGTTGGATAGCATGTTAGATACATAGACTTGTGCGGAAGGATTTGAGTAAAGTGCTGAAATAGCATTAATAATTGTTCCTGAAAATCCAAATTTTTGCAGTACTTGGAACATGTATGTCCAGTGTATCCTATCAAAAGCCTCTGCGTCCAGAGCAAGGAATTTTATGTGAGTCTACGTAATGTTTTATGTTGATTAGTCTCCCGGTTGCGTCAGATGTTTGTCTACCTTTAGTAAAGCCTATCTGATCAGGCTTGATCAAATCTAGGAGCATATTGGCCATTCTGCACGCTATACATTTAACGTAGATCTTCGTATCAGTACTTAATAAAGAAATAGGCTTGACATTTTGTGGGTTATCTGGATATTTACCTGATTTTGGGATTGTTACAATTAATGCTTGTAGGATTTCGGAAGGTAATGAGGCAGAAGAAAACGCGTATAGTTGGTGTATAGTTGGTTTAGATGAGGTATTTTTGAAAATGTTATAGTATTCGCTGGAAAATCGATCTGGTCCCGGATTTTTTCCATTGGGTAGTTTTTCTATTGTTCTGTTTATGTAATTTATTGGAGTTTAATTTAGGGGAGTATAGGATACTTAGTTGTGAGTTCGTAAGAAATTTGTCTTGATTTAGGTTATAAAGCGAATCGTAGTAACTAGCAAATTAATTTGCTATTTCTTGAGGATTAGTGATTTTAGTTTTATCTTTTGGGTTGATAAGATACGGTATTTTAGTTCTAGTATGCAGGGATTTCATTTTATTTGCTAGGTATTTCCCTGCTTTGTTTCCGTTAGAGTAGTAGTTGAGTTTTAATCTTTGCGTATCAAATTGGTACATTAGTAAGGAACGTAATTTGTTCCTTAGTCTGGAGAGTGTATTCGAGGTGGTTTGATCAATTTGAGCTTTATCTTGCATTTCTAGTTTGTGAATATCCTGTAGTAAATCATTAAGCTGTTTACTTCTTTGCTTTTTAGTTTTAGCGCTCATTTGTAAAATTATACCACGTATATATGCTTTTTGAGCGCACCAAAGGGTGCCAGAGTTTGATACAGATTGCGAATTTATATGGAAAGAACTTCTCAAGATGTTTTTCAAGTATCAAGTTATTGTTGGGAATTTTTATAATGGACGAATTTACGCGCCAGAGG